CAATTCAACCAGAGAACATCAACCATAAAACATGTAAAGAAATTGAAAACAGGTAGAGCCCATATGCTAACATTGAAATTGGCAGAATACGCATAAATTGATGAAGTTTTGGCTGAAGCTATAACATCAGCCTTGAATCTAGTTCAAACATATTTTGTAAAATATAGTTAAAATTAAATTTATTTTATCAAGAAAATAAGGAAAAATGATATGGAAAATAGCTTAAGTGATATCCTCAATAGTAATTTCAGTCAATTCAATCGCAAACACTGGCCATAAAAATGGAAAGAAATTGAAAACACGTATAGCCCATTTGGTAACACTGAATTCGGTTGAATTTGCCTAAATTGTTGAAAGTTTTGGCTGAAGCGACAAAATTCACTAATCTACTGAATTATGGAAACATTATATTTAAAAAAATATTTTATTTATAAAAACTAAAAATGATATGGAAAATTAGGTAAAATGGGATATCAATAGTAACTTCAGTCACTTCAATCAGAGAACAACGGTAAGTTACAATAAGCTAACGTCAGTTTTACTAAGGATTAAATATTTAATTATTTTTTGAAAACATGACAATTTTAGTTTTTAGAAGGTTTTAACTACATATTTAGAAACATAAATAATTAGATTTACATTATTTTAACAAACATATTAGCATATTATAAGAAAGATTTTCTTATTTACTTATGCAACCGAAAATAATTTTTTTAGAAATGGAATGGTTGGAAGTTAGAGGTGGACTAAAAACAAAATAGTTCATATCAGAGGGATAGAAAAAATTTCAGGGACTCAAAAAATTGGGTCATATCTGTACGGACTACAAACATGTTTAAGCCTTTTTTATAAAAGCAAACCCCGGCCAGTTACAATAATGCAATAAGCTAAGGTCAGTTTTAGGAGCTTTTTCCTAAAATAATGTTTTCTTATCATATGGTAAGAAATATTATACCGTGCAAATTATTAATTCAGAGTGATAGCTTAGTAATAAATAAAGATGGTAGAGTTTGTCCAGCTTTATTCTAAGCTAGCACCACTCATTAATTGTGTGCACGGTAAAAATACGATCCTAAATTGCACAAATTAATAGAATTACTTTTTTTTTTAATTTTTGTATATGCAACATTGATGTTATATGAAACACAACAAAATGTTATGAATTTTGATATATTCTTTGTAACAATCAAAGTACAAATAAAAAGGATATAACACTTGCAATAAATAAATATTTTTTAAAGTGTTAAATTATTTTTATTTTTATATATTCAATATTGATGTCATATGAAAGCTAATAAAAAACTATGAATTCTGATATAAATTTTCTAACAATTAGAGTACAAATAAAAAAGTTATACCATTTTAAAATAAATGGTGATTTTTCATTTTGGTGGGTCTCCTATCTCTCTTTGAGCTCCTCTTGTCAACTTAGTTTCATAAAGACGGAGTACGGAGAAAGTAATTTATGGAGTAGTAATTTACGGAGTAGTGATTACATTGAATAACAAATCTTCACCCGAAATAGAAATTGGGCCTAAAACTTTCGATGGACGATTCTCTAGTATGTTGACACGTGTCAAAATCTTTCCTCAAATGTATCTTTGAAATATTTTATATATAGATATTATCGTATATAAAATAGTACTACGTATATAATATAATATCTTTGTCTCGTTTTATTTAGCCATTTTTTACTTTTTCAATTAAAGATGATAAACTTTGATCCATTATTTTAATTAATATATTTATGTGAAAATTAATAAATTTATACTTTTGCGATTGTATTTTTAACAAAGAACATTTCATATCATTTTCATATTATCAACAATTACCGTGTATTAATATGAAATCCGTCAAAATTTAACATCTTTAACTTGGAAAATAGTGATTAGCTAAATAACAAGGGACGGAGGGAGCATATCTCAACTTTTATGGTGTTAAATACATAATTTTAAATACACAAAACATTTATGATGATCCAATTAATAGCATCTTATACCAGATATAATATTATTTATTTCAAAAATAAAATTTTAGAATGCATCCAAACAAAGCTTAGAGAGTTTTAAGTTATATACTTGTCCAATAAGTTTATATTTGCAAAACACATATAATCATGGTGAAAAAATATCTTTTTATATAAAACCTCTACATACTCAGGAGATGATTTTATGGGCAATGCTTCAGAGAGCGAGAAAAGAACTCATATATCGTTAGAGGAGGATCTATGGGATTTTGACGCAAATCAGGATATTTGCTACAAAGCTCGAATGGTCACAGTGGAAAACTGCTTACCAAAACAGAACTTGAACACTCAAATCAAATTGTACAGGAAAAAGCATCAATGTTCACATCACATGCGAACTAGATCTCAATCAAGAGTGGAATTCGGAAGACTCGATTAAGCTCATAGGGACAGGTTCCAGGGATGTTTTTCTTATTGTACTTTGGGTTGGGTTGTTTTTGTTTTTTGTTCCTTTTAGCTACTTTGCATTCTGTTTTTCTCGTGTACTTTCTCTTCTCTTACTTCAATAAAATTTCATTTCTCCAAAAATATATATATATATAATTCGGGTATATGTAAACCTCTTCACAATTTTGGCATATCATCAATACGCAGATCTCACGCTTTCTAATTGAGTATACACGTCGAAAGCTAGGTTTTTCTCTTGCTTTTCGAGAACTAGGTTTTCTCTCGCGTGTCCAAAGTGGTGCACTGTCGCACTTATGCGGTCAGTTTTTCTTTGACATTTTGATCAGTGCACGGTCTAGAAAAGATAATTATGACTTCTATGTATGCTCTAGAGCAGCGTTGTCCCATTCCAGCAATTGAGGAGGAGATCAAAGAGTTAGCTTTTGGGGGTCAACATGGGTGGAGGGCGGTGGCGGTAGTGGAGGCAGCACGGGCAACGAGCAAACATGGAAAAGTGAAGGGCTGAGCAAGAGAGAAGACAAATCGGTGGTCCGCCCCTCTCTTGAACCACCGTCTTGGAGCGATCGAGGAGTTAGGGTTTGGAAGATTTATCAGATATTTTATTTTTATGGTCTTATATTCGCGTTATGTTTTACGTTGCTCTGTTTTTTTTTTATGTCTTTAGTTCTTGGTCTACAATAATTATTGGCAATTCTGCTGGATATTTTGTCGTTAGAATGATCTATATTGTCTGTGATTGTTGTGTCACGCCCGTTTTGGTGGTTTGCAATTCATAGTGCTAGTTGGTTACAGATAGGTGTTGTTAATATTGTTGGTCTCTTTGAATTTGTTGTAACAATCTGAATCCCAATAATATTAATATAATCAGTTTTTCCTTAAAAAAAGTTCGAGTATATATTGTTGATGCAAGTTTGGGTGCTTTTCTCACACCTTTTCAAAGTTTAAGTTATTTTTGTTATTTTTCTCATTTTTTATGTCAAGTTCAAAAATAGGTAATTAGGAATCAATTGCTTAGAGTGTCTATCGAATGTTTTTTTTAAATATAATTTGCATCCAGTTTAGCACAATAATGACTTAACGTTTAACTTAAAACTAAATTATACATAATACATTTAACCAAATAACATATTTTTATTTGTTATGTAAGTACGTGATTGTTCTCTAAATTTTACTTGTAATCATTCTCAATGCAAAATTTTAGAGTCTGTTTGGTAACTCTGTTTTTCGGTTATCAGGCTTATCAATCAACTTTTATTTTCACCAAACACGTAACTTTTGATTTTGCATGTTGAATTGTGTAATAATAATAAGAAAAGTTAAGGTTGAAGTTAGTTTTCTAGCTGTATTGGCTGAAATTACTGTAGAGAATCATTTTAGCTATTTTTATATAATTTTTTCTTTATTTTATTAATAAAAAATATTTTAAATATAATTTTTTCATAAACCAGCAGAATCCACCAATCTATCCACTTCAACCGAATCTTCAAAAATTTCAGTAGAACCAGTCGATTCAGACAATTTTAAATGTTACCAAACGGACTCCTAATGTCTAGACTATTAAAAAGTATGAGACTTTTGTGAAGACTTAGCTTTATGGTTCAGTATCATTACGTGAAAATATTATACAAGTGACACACACCATACCTAGCTAATTCTTATGTGAAGTCTGAGCTCAAATTAAACAAGATATATTTCAAATATTGATCTCTAGTAATCATGTTAATCAATGTTTTCTCTCATCTCAAGCGGCAATGTTTTCTCTCATATATGTTAGATGTATGGTTTTATGAGGGGATAAGGGTCAGTTTGGTCCTCGAAGTTGCAAAAAAGGGGTCAAATAAGTCCTTATATAGAAAATTCTGTCCGGACGTGTCATTTGAGGTGGCTCCCGGTGGAATTTTTTGATGAAATTTTTTGAGCATCTTTATTCATTAAGTCTAGTTTACTCATACCAAATTTCAGATAAAAATTCAATCGGGAAGACATTCAAATGAATTCTTGAAGATAACTGTGCCGTTAAAAGCGCTGTTATCTTCAAGAATTCATTTGAATGTCTTCGCGATTGAAATTTTAGCTGAAATTTGGTATGAGTAAACTAGACTTAATGAATAAGATGCTCAAAAAAAATTATCACAAAATTCCACCGGGAGCCACCTCAAATGGCACGTCCGGACATAATCTTCTATATAAGGACTTATTTGACGCTTTTTTTTGCAACTTCGAGGACTAAACTAACCCTTTACTCGTTTTATGAGCCCATTTTTAATCCGCGTCCAAGTCGGCCGTCCAAGTCGGGATTATCTGGTGTTATGTTAATATAAATATTATTAGAACAAAAACATTAATATAGCCAAATATCTAAAAAAAAACCATTTAGAATTCCGGAGTACGGAGCACTCTTTAATTAATTATTACAACAATAATAATTAAGAATATTAAAGGGAATATTAAAATACTATACGTCTATTAATACTTGATTAGGATTTAGGATTAGGATACTTTATTTATTAACTCATAATCCTACTTGATCATGACTACCATAGTCATTAACTTATTAGGACTAGGACTGGGATACTTGCTTAATTAAATAGTTTTCTCTCTATAAATACAATTAGATGCTGCACGTAGCATGCAAGCATAATCATATCCCAATCAATTTCTTTGTTCGATCTTCAACTAGTCTAGCTTATTCATGGCTTTAAACACTTTCTTTATTTTTATGATCTTATTCGCCGGCGGGCTGTCGTTCCCGGTTCCGGCGGATCATTACTATCAAATAAATTTACCGAACGGAATCGTTGGCCCGGAGAGTATTGCTTTTGACTGTAACGGAAGAGGACCATATGTCGGTGTTTCCGATGGGAGAATCTTAAGATGGGAGGAATCTGTCCGAGATTGGACTGAATTTGCTGTCATCACACATAATAGGTACGCATATTCCAATATTTATTTATTTATTTATTTATTTATTTTTAACATTCAAAAATGTGTACTGGCTGGGCCATAACGTTTATCGATGTTTTCAATCCATTATACGATCGTATATACATATAGTATGGTTTTGGGATTTTTTGTTTTCAATTCTTACATTAAAAAGATGTGGTCGTAGTAATAATATTATAATTGGGAAAAGGCTACAAATTCTATCTATATATATGAAGTGTATTTTTATCTAATTTGTAATTGAACAGTTTTCAAGAATGATTTTAACTACTCCGTATTAAATAGTAAAATTAGGGGAAAGAACATAATTTGGATTGGTTAATTATATACTAGCTCCGTATCTTCTTCAAAAACTTACATCAGCTTAGGAAATAATGACGATATAATTTGGATTCGCCAATTTACATACATACTCCATATCTTTTTCAGAAAGGCATATAAGCAATCGATTAATAGACATATAGAATCACTCGTCTTATAGATGTTTTTATTTGATTTGTAGTTTTCTAATCTCGCATAATTTGAAATTAGGTGGATAGAATATGAAATTTGAAGACTGTAATTATGTACACATTATATGAACACAACTTTACCGTATGATGCATAATTATATTGATTTTGCAGTATTATATTTGTTATTAAAAGAACGTGTGTGCAATTTGGTTATTAGGAATAGACAATTGTGTGATGGAATAACTGACACCCGAAGGGAGCCATTTTGTGGTCGACCGCTCGGATTAAAGTTTCATCCAAAGACTTGTGAACTATACATAACTGATGCTTATTTCGGGTTGATGAAAGTGGGACCGAATGGCGGGATTGCTACCCAACTTGCAAATTCAGCTCAAGGACATCCATTCATGTTCCTTAATGATCTAGACATCAATCCTATTAATGGAGCTGTCTATTTTACCGACAGTAGCATTCGCTATCAACGAAGGTAAAATATTGTTCAATACACGTACAATTGATTATGTTTAACAATTAATTACTACATTTTCTAACAAAACATCATACATTTGTAGGGACTACTCAAAGATAATTTCCACAGGAGATAGTACAGGAAGGTTGCTAAGATTTGACCCAAATACCAAACAAGTGCGTGTGTTACACGATGGCTTAGCATTTCCAAATGGGGTCGTTTTGTCTAGGGACAATTCGTATCTTCTTGTAGTTGAATCACAGAAAAATCAAATCTTAAAATTTCCGCTTTCGAATAACAGAACAAGAACTCCAAGTGTCTTTGCAAGGGTTGACAGGTTTGCTGATAACATCAGAAGGAATGGTCAAGGAGATTATTGGGTTGCACTAAATACAGCAAGAGAAGGATACACTGAACCAGTTGGTTTGAAGTTTGATGAAAATGGTAGATTGATTCAAGTAGTGAATGGTGATATTGGAAATACTCTAGAGTTTGTCAGCCATGTTGAAGAACACAATGGAAGAATGTGGTTTGGATCTCCGAGACAACCATATGTTGGCACTATTATTAGAGTTTAGATTTTATTAACTAGTTAAATAGGTATTTGTTTTGATTAATATTATCATACGAATTCTTCCTAATTGAAGACAAATATGTTTCATGGAACTTCTTGTTGGTTATTTATAAATTCATGTTTTAAGGGCAACAAGTTAACTACACACTTTCAGCATATTGTTAATGTGATATTTAATAAAATTCACATCTTATATCCAAATCAAGCCTTCCTTCTTCACTGACGTTACTATATTAAAGCATCCAATTCCAGTGTGGGGGCAGCGGGGCAGCTGCCCCCACTCAACCCACATCCAACCCCTGTATATATATCAAATATAAAATTATATGTGTAGATAGGTATTAATATAAGTAATTTAAACATTAGAAACGACTTTGTTGACAACTGAGCAGCTGCGGTAGAGAGGATTCGGAGCTGATCCGTGTCTTAGTATCTGTGGTAGCTCAAGACTTCGACGATTTGAAGCTCTTAACTACTTTTCTTTACAAGTGCTCTGAACTACCTTTTTTTACAAGAGCTCTAAACTAATGTAATGTTATTTTTGCATTGCATTTAAATTTTTGCTTGGTTTGAACTATTTCAATTTAATTACAGTTAAAAAAATTGAATATGTTTTGTGAAGTTTAACAATTCATTATTACATTTAGTATAATTAATTATTAAATATACTTGTGCATTCGCAACTTAAGTTAATTTTAAATAAATAATTGACTCATTTCTTATTATTTGGTTCTTATTGCTAACATAATTTTGAATAAATTACAATTTACAAACTATGTGATTAAATTTTTTTAACAAAGTAAAATTTTATCTGCCATGAAATTTTTAAGTATGATATGGTAATATTTTGTCCCGTGAATATTTTGTTATTTTAATTGATTTTACACTATCTTTTATTATTGTGGTTGTTGTTTATGACGTGTGAGATAGTTTGTTTAAATTCGCCCCCACTGACAAAAATTTCTGGATACGCCACTGCTCCCTCCCAAATTGTTTTGCAAAGTTAACATTTTTTGGTCAACCAATAATAAAGGTCAATGCTTCCCATCGATAAATAATTCAATTTTTAATAATTAAAATTTATATATTCAGAAACTACATTAAAATCTCTTCAAAGTTGTAAACTCCAAATTAGAATGTAATAAAATGAAACTGTTTGACTAAGAAAAGTCAAATTTGCAAATCAATTTAGAACGGAGGTAGTATAATCAATTAGGGAATAATAATACAACAATTATTGGTAACATTCGAGTTTGTGTGTTTTATCTAGTTGCAGTATAGAGAATAATCTCATTTATATATTTTGTCGATTCGCGGTGTAGGGACGCCTGCAGTGGGTGGTTTCACCTTTTCGAGTTGAGAATCATCTCATTCAGAGTGCTTTAACGCTTCGATAAAATAAAGCATCCTTTAGTAGAGGGTTCGACGCAGCTAATATAGGGTTCTAGCCAACCGTCTCTATGCACTGACACATGCAGCAACAACGTCCGAGCCTTAATCTCAAAGAGTTCGGGTCGACTAACATGAAGCACGCCTAAAGTATGCACTGATGCAGACTAATTACATAATATCTGGAAAATTAAGTGGTTGATTCTTCTAGTACAAGCATCCACATTTAACTTATCACACTTTGTTCCAGCCTCTGTCACAAGGAGTTCCTTCACAAGTTCATTCTGAGAAGATACTGCATGATATATTGAAGTCAAACGCCAAAGAACGAATCTTGTTAACAAATGCCAGTTTAAGCATGTTTCTTTGGCTTAGCTTGTCACAATTTTTTTACCATTTATCAACCGTTAAATCTGGGCTCCATCTTAAAAGGTCAACTTATTAGGAGGAGTAGTCCGAAACTTAATATAACACTCTAATGCTTCTTAATTAATTTACCGGTGTGGGACTTTATCACCAACACTAACTTGCCGATCCGGCGATCCCAATAACCTTCGGGACTGAGGCTTGGATGTTGATTTGTTAGGAACACAAAACGTTCTCCATACTATACACGTATACTTCATAAAAGTATATTAAAATATAAAGGCATTGACTTCAGTCATGGAAAAAGTTTGGTTTAATCAGTATTTTCAGTTCTATCTATATGTTTATTTCCTAGCGTTGTCTAGAGATATTATTTTCGGTGGCGAAGTGTCGCTCGCCAGATCTATATTCCCCGTCATCATCGGTCGGATGTTCTTGTGTGCTAGTAAGAGGTTTGTATTGGCTTCTTTATCCATCATGAATAAGGATTTCTTCTGCATCTATATAGAGGCCGATCGCCCCCTTCCTGAACCACCGCCGATCCAGGAAGATGACATTGGATGGATTGCTTTCTTTCCGGTGACTGGTCAAACCGAAACAATTTCTGCACTTGGCTCCTTACCGGTGGTTGGAAAAACCGGCAAGTTCAATAATTCCTTTTTGGTGGCTGGTCAAGCCGAACCCATTTCGAGTAGCATGAGCAGACACAGTGCGGTATGAGTCTACATTGTTGCAGGGTTAGCGAACATGAGTGCTTTTATATGGCGTTTTTGTTCTTTGTCTCATTCTAGTGTAGTATTGAACGCTATGATTGTAATGTTTCGGCTTTTAGTTGTTATGTTTCTTGTTAAGATTTGATTATCAATAAAATGGTTATTTGATTTTCAAAAAAAATATAAAGGCATTAAGAATTGAATTCAATTTCATATATTGCTTTATTAAGCTTCCAAAATACGGGGTAGAAGTTATATTTCCTGGCACATGGAATTGTAACTTTAATAATAATATGCACTCCGTATATGAAAATGAGTACACCGATCGAGTACTCTTATTTTTAAAAATCGAAAATGAAATGACACTTTAATAAAATTCACATTAAGGTAGCATCAACATCTTTTGTTTAAATAAAGAATTTAAATAATCAAAATAATGACACTTAATAAATGTTGTATTATAGTACTGATATGAAAATAGATACCACGTATATAGTTAGTTGATACTTGATAGCTCATGTCATTTCAGGGACATCAGATAAAATTGGAATGATATTTGATAGCTCATATGAGGACTAGAAGAATAAGTTTCTTGGTGCCCAAATTCTGCCAGAAGACTCACTCCTACATTGTCTCAGACTCTCATGCCTAGTAAATTTTCTTTGGTTTGGATGTATACTACTCTAAGTTGCACTGCCGAACTATATAGGAAATGTATGTGGGGATAAAGATTTTGTTTTACTCTATGCATGTCTGAAATGTCTAGAGCCAAGTTTTGGTTCCATTGTCTCAATATTATCCCAAGTTCTAGCAAGCCAGTTCTTCTAAAATACGAAGTAGATTTTAGATTTACTTTTCCTTTGTTGGCCACATTCTGAATTCATTAATTAGTTGGGAAAACTATCAAATAATTTCCTCTACTGTGACAAAAATGTCAATTAAATCAATAAATACTTGTACTTCTGAATCACCCAATCAAACCCCCAAACTATAAAAAAGATTCAATTAGGTCTTACAACCTGTTAACGACCGGTGGCCCGTTAAAGTAAAAAATAAAATAAACTATAGTTGTATTTTGGTATATTTACACACCCAAAATTAGATCTAGGCTTCCAGTAGCCTGAGCAAGGCGCCGGCGATGAGTTGAGCTTTATCTTCTCCATTCTACTAAGCAAGGAAACGACGACGAGGAATTATCTTCTACAGCTAAGTCTTAAAAAATTGGGATTTCTACAAGAACCTTTCAATTCCTTACAAGGTTTCTACAAAGCTAGGTTAACCGGTTAGAAACCGGCTAAAAGGTTGGATTGGACATTTTTTTTATAGTTTAGGGACCTAATTGAGTGATTGTAAACTACAAGAACTTAATTGCCGTTTATGCCATAGTACGAGGGCCAATCCCATAGTTTTCCCTTAATTAGTTCTTTTTGTTTGTTGGTCCAGGTTTTGTTAGCTCTTGGTTGCTACGTGTGATTCATTTTTTTAGGGATCTACGTGTGATTCTTATTAGAAGCTTTGGTTGACATGTGTTTACTTTTAATTTGTATATAAATTTATTAATTTGATAGGATACATTTTAACTTTTATTTATTTGTTAAAGTGGCCAAAAACTTGATGTTTATAATTATTTCTACTATACGAATCTCAATTGTATTTGTACATTTACTTCTTCTCAAGTAATATGGGAAATGTTTCTCCTAAAAAAAGAAAATGGGAAATGTTTCTTAGCCAAAATCAAAATGATATATATATGTGTGTTGTAGAACACTATAAACAGTAAAGGTCGAAAAGATGCCAGAAAGAAAATAATAATAATTTTAACGTATTGATCATTATTAACCACTATAGTGGCCGAAAGCACAAACCTTAAATATTAGCAACTCGGTGTACGAAAATTTCTCACGTACTACATATAAATATATTTAACTTAATCTTATTATTAGTTTTGGTAATTAGTCATAAACCTCTTTTTTTAAAACTCCATATCACTATTATCATTTTATTCTGACATGCACTTAAAGTACTGTGATGAAGTAATTTAATTAATTTATATCTTAATAATTTCTAGACCGCTATTTGGGGTGTTACAATTTATCACTTTTATTACTATAATTATAATAATAATAATAATAATAATAATAATAATAATAATAATAATAATAATAATAATAATAATAATAATAATAATAATAATAATAATAATAATAATAATAATAATAATAATAATAATAATAATAATAATAATAATAATAATAATAATAATAATAATAATAATAATAATAATAATAATAATAATAATAATAATAATAATAATAATAATAATAATAATAATTAACTATTACGGAGTATTATTAATAATAGGAAAAATTGATAGTAATAATACCAAATATTGCCGGTCCGCTTATAATAATCCCAACTATCGATCATTTCAGAATTATCCCAACTTTAAAGACCTTCCGCCAATAATGCACTACAAAAAAACATGGTATTGGCACGGAATTTGGCACGGATTTCCGACGTTTCGTGCCAAATAGCTCCATCCAAAGTGTTTTTGGCACGGATTTTGCATAATCCCTGCCAAAATTCCTGCCGAAATCCCTGCTAATTCAGTGTTTTTTTTGTAGTGATGGTCCGATGTGATCGAGTATAAATAAATTCACGTAGTTTCTAAAGTGGATGAGAAGAGGTATAGCCAGGGGCGGAACCAGGGGAGCGAGCCGGTGCTGGCGCCTCCCCTTCGCCGGAGTTCTTAAGCTACGTATATGTATTAGCCCGGAGTATATCCATTAGCGCCCCTGTGCTTCACTCCGCTCAAATGGTCGCAGGCTGTTCTGGAACGCAGAAACGCCGGAGGAGGAGGGCTTTGGTGAAATTTTTTGACTTTCCCCACTTATACGAAACGACGTCGTTCAGTTAAATGAAAAAAAGAATACCACATATTCCCTATAGGTTTATGTCGTTCGGTCTTTCAGAGCCGAATTGTTGCCCTCTAATAGATTGGCCGTTAGCATCTTGGATTCTCGGACTCTTCGAGATTGTAGATTTGGGGGTTTGACCTTTCCCCTTCCTTTGTGGTCTTCATTTGCCGACTTCCCGATGCCCATTGCAAGTACAAATCCCGCTGCCAATTGCAAGTACAAATAGTATAGTAGCTGCTTAATTTATTAATGGGAAAACTGTCAAATAGGTCCTCGAACTTTCATAAAAAAGTCAATTAAGTCCTTCTATAGGAGACTATGTCCGGTCGTCGCGATTTGGGGCGGTTCCCAGTGGAATATTTTGATGAATTTTTTTGAGTATCTTATTCATCAAGTCTAGTTTACTCATACCAAATTTCAGCTAAAATTTTAATCGGGAGCGCATTCAAATTAATTCGAGAACGCAAAAATGTGCAGTTATCTTCAAGAATTAATTTGAATGTGTTCCCGATTGAATTTTTAGCTGAAATTTGGTATGAGTAAACTAGACTTGGTGAATAAGATGCTCAAAATATTTCATCAAAAAATTCCACCGGGAACTGCCCCAAATCGCGACGGCCGGACAAAACCTCCTATAGAAGGACTTAATTGACCTTTTTATGAAAGTTTGAGGACCTATTTGACAGTTTTCCCTTTATTAATTAGATTTAGGCCTTGATCGACCTGTAAGTGGTATTGTGGTAAGTCCGTAAGTGTCATTGTTTTATTGTTACATTTTATTAGATTTTAGGCCTCCTTGTTTTGTTTAAGGTTTAATCAATTAATTATTTACCTGTCTAGCCGTTTTTACTAAATTGAATATTTGTAATTATTTTCTTAAAAACTAATAGAGATGCTTGGTTTTTATAATTTTGAAGTTATCTAGGTGACTGTCTATATATACATTTTTGACACGGGGTGGTGGGTCTTAATTTAATCCAAATGATATTGCGGTTGATCCGGGGCCACGTACACCACCTATCAATGATTTTGACAATTTAGACCAAGTTTGAAGAGTGTTTAACTAGAGGTCCTTGTAGACCGGTACACCTTGGCGATATACGTAAGAAGGGGATTTTTGCAAACATTGAGAATGAAGCAATTTTGCAGCGCTTTCAACGCATGCAGACACACAGAACACAATTGTTTCAGCTCGTTTCTTCTTTTAGCAATGAATAGTTTCTTAGTGTACACGTTTTGACATATTATGTACGAAGTATTTTTTATACTCTTATTAAAATTTCAGTGTCTTGAGTTTAGACATTCTTTTTAGCCGCCCCTTAAATTCTGTTCTGGTTCCGTCACTGGGTATATCAAGTAATCCCTATAAATAATCTCAACTTTTAACTTTTACGCTTAATTTCTATTTAAGTTGGAGGTAATATCTGGTCATGGACCATCATTGGCGGACGGTCCATATAGTTGGGATTATACAAAAAAAAACGATAGTTGGGATTATTATTTTCAATTTTTTAATAATACTATAAGTATACGCAGTAATTAAAATTACAATTATAATTATAGAAATAAATATATAAATATAATAATTATAATTATAGAAATATTCAAATCAGATCAGATCAGAGAGATTCAGATTAGATCAGAAGGATTCAGATCAGATCGAGATATTCAGATCAGGTCAGACCATATCATAAACATTCATATCAGATAAAAAAGATTGAGATCAGATCAGAAAGATTTAGATCAGATCAAATAAAAAAAACTAAGATCTGATCTGATCAGAACTTAAAAAATTCAGATCAGAAACATTCAGGTGAGGTGAAGAGAACGGTTTCTTATGGCTAATAGCCGCTAAAATTAATGTTACCAGTTTCTATCTGTCGTCACTAGGTGTATGAAGAATGTGCTTGTAGCGCGTCTAGCTAGAGTTCGAGGATGGTACGAAGATGGTGGTGTAAAATGATTAAAATAAAGTTCATTTACAAAAATGTGACTAAATGTAGTGAATATATATAGTATTGTAGGTCTGTAGTAACTTTAGTTATAGTAACTTATATTCAATTTTTGTGCTCAAATAACCGTATAAGGCATTATACTCATAGTAATTTAACACTACTTTTATAAATAAATTTTATTTTAGTAATAAATTTGAGAGAGAAAAATCTGATAAAGGAAATAACGTTTTTGTTATCTAAATAAACCCTCTTTTAATATATTAGTTTTATTACAAGTCACAAATGAATCGCATCTATATTTAACTAAGGATGTTTTCTTTTGAACCGTTTTCAGTCCCAGAACAGACTTCCGTAGTTATAAAATACATAAAGATCAGACGTTTACCAGATCAGACCAGACCAGCAAATTTGTGTCGAACATATATTAATAAATTCTAGAAGGACAACGATATATGGTTACGTAAGTGACTAAGTGCACATACACAAGTCCTAATTATTAACTCATTAGGACTAGGACTAGGATACTTGCTTAATTAAATTAGTTTTCTCTCTATAAATACAATTAGATGCTCTACGTTGTACGCATAATCGTATCTTCAGCTCAAGCAAAACTCATATCATATCCCAATCTTTCTTTAATTAGTTTTATCCATGGCACTAAACGCTTTCTTTTCTTTATCATCCCTTTTCTTTATTTTTATTATTATCCTATTCACCGTCGGGCTGTCTTTCCCGGTTCCGGCGGATCATTATTTTCAAATAAATTTACCAAACGGAGTCGTTGGCCCGGAGAGTATTGCTTTTGATTGTACCGGAAGAGGACCATATGTCGGTGTTTCCGATGGGAGAATTTTAAGATGGGAAGAACATGCCCGAGACTGGACTGAATTTGCTGTCATGACACATAATAGGTATGCACATTCAAATATTTATTTATTTATTTATTTATTTATTTATTTATTTTCAACATGCATATATATGTACCATACTGGCTTGGCCGATAACGTTTATTATGTTTCCAAATTCCAATCCATTATACGATCGTGTATATGGTTTTGGGATTTTTGTTTTCACAACTTTAAAAAAATGTGCATGGTATATTGGTATAGTAGGAAGTTTTTCTTCAAATTATTTCGTATTTAAATAAAAATATGTGATGATGAAATAATGTGACCAAGGCGATTATAAGTATATTTTCATACTTGATAAAAGGTTATAAAGTCTCTATCCGGAATTATAATTAGAAAAGGCTACAAATAAAGTCTCTAATTTGTATTGAGCAGTTTAATTTTATATTGTATTGGCTATTAAAATCAGGGGAATGGACGAAATGATTTGGATAAGCTAATTTATCCTTCTTCGAAAAGATTCATCTGTTGCTTAGGAAAAAACGAATTGAATCGGCATTAAGGGAGTGCTTTAAAAAGTGATTTTTAAAGTGATTTTGGGAAAAGTGATTAATAGTAAAAGTTGGTAGTGTTTGAGAAAAAAGTGATTCTGAAAAAGTAAAAGTTGGTAGTGTTTGGTAAAATAAGTACTTTTTGTGTAATAGAAAAAGTGAGAAGCAGTTTAAAGCACACTTCTACCTGCTTCCAGCTTTTAGCTTTTAAGTGATTAATTTAAGCAGAAGCTGTCATTTGAAAACACTCTTTTCAACTTTTTTTAAGCCAAAAGCTGAAAAGCGCTTTTTTTAAGCAAACCCAAACACTCCTTAAATTTGTAGACTATAATCATGTACACGCTATTTGAACACAATATGACCATATGATGTATGATTATATTTATTTTGATGTATTATATTTGTTATTAAAAGAATGTGTGTGCAATTTGGTTATTAGGAATAGACAATTGTGTGATGGTATAACCGACGCCCGAAGGGAGCCGCTTTGTGGTAGACCGCTCGGATTAAAGTTTCATCCAAAGACTTGTGAACTATATATAACAGATGCTTATTTCGGGTTGATGAAAGTGGGACCGAATGGCGGGATTGCTACCGAACTTGCAAATTCAGCTCAAGGGCATCCCTTCATGTTCCTTAATGATCTGGACATCAATCCTATGAACGGAGTTGTCTATTTTACTGATAGTAGCATTCGCTATCAACGAAGGTAAAAAATTGTTCAATACACAACTGTTTATGTTTACAATTGATTATGCTTAACAATTAATCACAACATTTTATAATAAAACATCATACCTATGTAGGGATTACTCAGAGATCATTTCAAGTGGAGATAGTACTGGAAGACTGTTAAGATTTGACCCAAATACCAAACAAGTGAGCGTGTTACACGATGGTTTGGCATTTCCAAACGGGATTGTTTTGTCTAGAGACAATTCATATCTTCTTGTAGTTGAATCACAGAAAAATCAAATCTTAAAATTTCCGCTTACGAATAACAGAACAAGAACTCCAAGTGTCTTTGCAAGGGTTGACAGGTTTGCTGATAACATCAGAAGGAATGATCAAGGAGATTATTGGGTTGCACTAAATACAGCAAGAGAAGGATACACTGAACCGGTTGGTTTGAAGTTTGACGAAAATGGTAGATTGATTCAAGCAGTGAATGGTAACATTGGAAATACTTTGGAGTTTGTCAGCCATGTCGAAGAACATAATGGAAGAATGTGGTTTGGATCTCCAAGACAACCATATGTTGGAACTACTATTAGAGTTTAGATTTTATTAATTAATTAGATAGGTATTCGTTTTAATTAATATAATCATATGATTTCTTCTTAATTGATGACAAATATGTTGTGTGGAACTTCTACTTGGTTTATTTATACATTAATGTTTTAGGGGTAACAAGTTAACTACACACTTTCAGCATATTGTGAATGCGATATTTAATAAAGTTCACATATTTTATCCAAATCAAACCTTTCTTCTTCACTAACGTTATTACATCAAGGCATCCAATTCCAAGGCACAACTTTGAAGTCATATATACTCAACAAGGGAATAATAATACAATAATTATTGGTCACATTTGAGTTTGTGCGTTTTATCCAGTTTGTAGTGTAGAGAATAATCTCATTCACTTTGTCGAGTTGGGAATAGGGACACCTGGGGAGAGGGTGATTTCACCTTTTTGAGTTGAGAATAATCTCATTCAGACTGTTTTAAGGCTTCAATAAAAACATCCTTTAGCAGAGAATTCGACGCAGCTACTCGTTGAGATGTGATATCAAAATCTTTTCCTGATCTGATTTAAGAAAAGAAAAAAGGAACGGTTTAGTCCAATTATCATAAGTGTAGACTAAATTATCAGTTAAGACAGACTAATTACATACTCACATCATTCAGCATGCCATATATTTAAATGCAGGTTTAGAAACAGTAAACAGAAACCGACCGAAACCAAACTGATCAAAGTTAATTAAATCCTATGCAGTTTCAGTTTTTCTCAAGGTTGTAATGGGCTTTGAAAACCACATAACATTGACAAAAACCAGCCAGAATTGCCCGAACCCGAACCGAACAAAGCCAAACCTCACCATATATGCAGTTTTGTTTTTTGTTCAAGTCTTTAAGTTTCAAAAAGTGACCTAACTAATCAAAACCTGAGAGAATTGGAGATGATTTAAGTTATTAAGTTTGACTTTTTCAAAAACTCCAAGGACCGGTTCCCTTTGACACATTTCAGTCTCATGCATAAACAGATTAGAACAAAACCGCACTATTCACTTGGACTTAAGACCAGAATCAAACAGGCCAAAACAAACTTACACTAAACAGTACTCCGTATAAATACGCATAATATCAAACTAGACTTAGGGGTCGTTTGTTTTATGGCAGATCGACATCCACCCGCCGCAAAAAGCAGTGGTTCTATGTGTAAAAGCAATAGCGGTTTGGGGAAACCGCTTATTTCCCAACGACCCCTTAATTAGACTAAATTAAACATGTCCAGGCTAGAATATATTACAGTCAAAATAAACATATCCTAAGTAGAAACAAGAACAGAGCAGACAAAAACTAAACAGACGAGAATACGAGATCATACCATTATTACCAATAATTTCATTCTGAGTCCTAAAGTAGCAAATATAAGCTGATATGTGGTTACTCAAAGGGTTGAGATTGAGGAATGAAGTATTTGGTATACTTACGGATCAAACAGAACGCCACCGGCTTCTTCAACAATAACAGCACCAGCCGCCACATCCCATGGGCCTCCAAATCCAGCCTCATAGCAAAGGTCAATCCTCCCACAGGCAATGCTGCATAGATTCAGTGCAAGAGAACCTGTCATTCGCAGGGACCTCACCTGATCACAAGAGCCAGGGAGACTAAAACATCACTAACCAACCGTGTCTATGCACTGACAGAGCAACAACATCCAAGCCTTAATCCCAAAAGACTTTGGGGTCGGCTAACATGAAGTATGCCAAAAGTATGCACTGATGCAAAATTGAATTAATTAATACCTTGAAAAGTAAGTTGTTGATTCTGCTAGTACAAGCATCCACATTTAACTTGTCACGCTTTGTTCCAGCCTCTGTCACAAGGAGCGCCTTCACAAGTTCATCCTGAGAAGATACTGCATGGATATATTTAAATTAAACGCCAAAGAATCTTGTTAACAAATGCCAGTTTGAGCATGTTTCTTTGGCTTATCACCATTTCTTTTACCATTTATCTAACACTAACTTCAAAGGCTTGGATGTTGTTGGATGTTGTTTTTGTTGTTGTTACCTAACACTATCTTGTTTAATTCCCGCACTAAATTGGCTAATCAAGAAAAACAACAGGAGTTTATTTTTTTTGCTGAACTTGACAAATTTAGTTACTTTCCATATAATAGTAATAAAATCTACGGAATATACAATTTCACAATTCAAGGCATTCATCCAATTCACTTCAATTTAGAAACTTCAACCTATGAAGCAAGCAAACTCTCGGGAAAGAGTACGTTTCATTTTCCAAAACTCTACAGAAACTTTATAGAAATCCTCCAAAAAATCCTCCAAACAATAATTTATCTATTACAAGATGATGACGTTTCTCGTTTCACATTTCCCCACGTTTCCGTGCAACATAGATTTCAACACATTTGGCCAATATTGGTCTTCAAGAACGGCACTATATTAGTGTAAAATATGTTTATTGTAGGCATTAAACGAACAATATGTATTTTCCTTTATAAATGTAAAATATGTTTATTATAGTCAGTTAGCCCATATTAGTGTTTATTATAGGCACTAAAAGAACAATATATAGAGATGTAAATTCACCTTTGATAGGGCTACCATTCAGAAAAGCACCTTTCCCATGGATGCCAGTGAAAAGCTACAAACAATGTTCAAAGCAAATAGAAATATTTAGATTAGTTCAGTTTAAACTATAGCATGTTTAAACTCTTGAATGTAAATTTGAAATGAATTCAGTTTGGCTGGTGGCAGGATGGGCCTATTATAGAACTTAGGTAGGATTTGGCGGTCAAGCGGAGCTTTAAGCCTAAGAGTATGTTTGGATGGTGGGAGGATATGCAAGGCTCAGTTTATAATTGATGTGTATTTGAGAATTAATAAAAAGTCAAAGATTTGCATATAATATACATAGTATAATATATAATCACATGACATTCCAATCACATATTCTTCATTTTTTAGAAGCAATAAATACAAACAGACCCTAAGAGAGAACTAGATCCTGTGGAACCTCAGAAGTCTCACCTCGTTCATGATTGGGTTGTAGACAACGCCAACAGTTGGTTTTTTCCCAATTGTGAGACCAATTGAGACACACACAAAAGGAAACCTACAAGTTAAACCACAGTTTTTTATATATCAAATTACAAGGTAAGTATTTAAGTTCTCCAACGAGCACTTGTTACAATATTAACTTGGAGAATATTAATGGGGTTAAATTACCCATGGACAAAGTTAGTGGTTCCATCAACAGGATCAACTATCCATGTAGGTTCATCTGTCAGCTCAGAAGCTCCATAAGCTGCCGTTGTTTCTTCTCCAATGAACTAAAGGGAGGAGATTAAATACATAAACCAATAACTAGAGGGGAACTTTTCAAAATAGCATACTCCAGTATTAATTAGTACCTAAGAATGAACTATTATGTAACTCTAATGATAATGTAAAGGGAATATTAAAGAAAAAGGAAAATGAACCTTATGGGTTGGGAAGTGATGCTTAAGATGATTGAATATGAGGGTTTCACATGCCTTGTCGGTCTCCGTGACCAAATCCACCTGTAAAAAATTAAAACATAAAGCAAATGACGAACTAAATTACAACATTTAGACTCTAAAGACTAAAAGGTGAAAAACATATCATAGATATGACTCTTTCGGAGAAGATGGAGTAACATTTGAGGCTTAAACCTCATTATCTACAGAATGCACATCTTAAATTTCAAATGGAAAAATAATATACAAGGCCATGTTCTGCACAAATTAGTATTATTACACGGCTTATTTTCAATTTTTAATTAACATATAATATATGAATAGAACTAAAAGTAATTACCGAGCCTTTGTGTTCAATATGCTTTTTCTGGTGGAAACCATTTCGTATAATCTGTAAATCCAATAAACCAACACAGTCAACAAGTAGAGCTAGAAACCAGTGAAAAATGTAAAGCAAGGTTGATCGAGAAAGTGGAAACCAAACCAGGGGAGGGGAGTGTTGATTTTTATTTTTCCAATTTATCCCTATCTTCGAGTTTTAGACTAAAAGTAACTACATTAGTTAGATCATGTAGTTTTATATAGGGAGCAGTTTTATCTGCACTTTATTTTGTAATAAATGTAGAAAACTGTAAATGATTTCTAAAAAACATCACCCATCCCCTGCCCTCCTTCACAATTCCTCTGAACAAACCCTCCGGAGAATAAAATTGGATAGAGAACTGATCTGTGTTGTAAGAAATCAATAACATTCAAGAAGTTATACTAAAAAACGAATCTTTGGGAAATGAGCAAAGATTCAACAAGAATGTGAATTTATCAGTAGCTATAAACTAACAAAAAAAACAGAAAAAAAAACAAAGAAACAAATGAAATTGAATAGAGAATGGGATTTACCTCGCCGGCTTGCTTAGCTGCATCAACTGCCACAGCCAAGAACTCCTCCACTGGCGAATCAATCAATACCATATAATGTATATAAATTAAATTTAATTTAATTAATAGGAATCTATATCAACAAAGGCGCACACGTGTTTATTTTTTTATGTATAAAGATGGGATCAGATAATTAAGGGAGGAGAGTTACCCACCTGCAATGTCAGCCATTTTTTAGATGCAAAATCTGGCGTGGAGAAGATGACAGTGAGGAATGGTTAGAAAGGAATAGAAACTTTTTATATATATATATACCGTTAACGAACGGCAGTTTCACAAAGGTGAAAGGGCAATCTGGTAATAGAAGGAATGGAGGACATTCCAAGGAATATGCGGATTCACTTCGCGTCTTGGTCTAATGGTCTTTCTGGTTATAACAAAGGCACTTAAGGCACAAATGCATAATATGTACGTAATTGATTAAAGACGTGAAAGCCGGGGATAAAAAGAACTTTTAAGACTTTTGAGGAGATCAGAGATTGTATTTTACAACAGTACAACACTACAACATGATCAAATTCTAAAAATGAAAAATGGGAGGGGATGTTTACGATTTTCTAAATAAGATTTATTATTTGTGATTGACCAAGGATACTCTTAGGGCCTGTTTGGATTGAGTGTTGAGGGGTGTTAGTAATGGAATTGTTAGTAAGTGTTGACAGGGGCCTGGAAGGAAAAGTAAGTGTAAGTGTTAAACATAACCTTACCTTGTTTGGGAGAGTTAAAAAAATGAAGTGTTAATAATGGAAGTGTTTTCACTTAAATTGACAAAAATATCCTCATGTAAAATATCATAATTGCATGTTTTTAATGTTAAATTACGTATACACTACTTGTCCGTATTTTAATGATTGTTTTGTTTAAAAGTAAAATAAAAATAAAAAATAGGTACACATATATGAAATATTTACGGACAGTAAATATCTATATATGTATACGTATACACATCTTCCCAGGCTTAGGCTTAGTTATTACGGAGTACTTATTAGAGTAGGTCAGTCTTAATACGTGGAGATGAATGACAGATTCAGACAAAGCGGGTCTATACAATTGATTGTATACAAACAATGGGCATAGATATACAGTGGGAAGGAGAACAGCCCGCTGGCAGCTTGGGAGAAGGAGAACAGTTCGCTGCTGGAGGAAGAAGAACAGTCCGTTGGAAGCCTGGGAGAAAGAGTACAGTCCGTTGGGAGTAGATAAAAAAAGAGTAAAAGTTGTCCAACACTTCATTACACCCCAATTTGGGGTGTTAAAAAAGTGATGAATATAGGTGTTAGGAAGGGTATAGTTAACACCCTTAAACACTTATTAACACTTCTCATTTTTTCTAATTTTTCTCCCAAACAAGTGTTGAACTAAACACTCTCTAACACTTCCATTACTAACACCCGCTAACACTCAATCCAAACAGGCCGTTATAGGGGTTGGTATATTACTACCAATGATCGTAATATGCCAATTCTGATGTCATTGGTGGACTTCGCTAGAGTGCCGCCTTCCGGCTGCCCTAATTATGACGAGGGACTAAGGGCAACTATTAATATTAAGATTTGAGATGTAATAGTTAGTCATATTTAAAGAAAGTAAAACATGTACCCATAGTCTCATATCAAGGAATATAAGAGCATAGTTCCAAAAGGTTGAATCGCCAACCCCAAGCGCCCCCCACGCCCCGACCCGACCCCAAGTTCCAAAAGGAATATAAGAGCATCTTTTAATCCTATTTATAGCAATTTGCTCTATATTTTCATATTGATATGATTATTAAAAAAAAGTGAAATTGTGTGATTGCATTGAATTAATAAATTGCGAATAAAGTAATACTATCCCCGTTCTCTTTTAATTGCAACATTGGACTTTTTGCACTATTCACATATTCTACTTTGACTATATTTTATTTATTAATGTATTATAAATTAAAATTTAAAAAAATAATTTTAAATTCCTCTAATTTTAAGGAATGAAAGATTTAATTGTCAAATTTATGTATTGGCAAACGTGAAAAGCTAACCGTTGTAATTATAAAAGAACGGAGGAAGTAATATAAGGTTGACAGATCTCTTTCTAATGATAAAAATGACACACAATCACTCAGGTAATACGAAATACGATAAATTTAGTGGAAAGATAAAAAAAAGTGAAAAAGAGAGTAATTAATTAAAGTGCCTTTAAATCATTTTGTTATATTATTGGGGTTTTTGGATCTAGTTCTTAAAACTGTTTTTGCTCATTCGGGAAAGCAGAAGCAGATATTGAAATGTTTGGCTGAAAGTGTAGAAATATTTCTGGGTGCTCCAAATTGCTACTAGAAGCTGGGGGAGACCAACTTATGAAAAGCTTATTTTGATTCTATTTTTACTTTTAAAAAATAAACAAAAACAGACTCAATTCCAAACAAAGACTCTTGATAAGTTTGTAAGAAACTTTAATGATACTCCCTCCGTCCCGTTGGGATTAGGGCTGGACTCGGTTCGGGCCGGGCCCGGTTCGGGCCTTGAACCGGCCGGGCCCGGTTCGGGCCTTGAACCGGCCGGGCCTCGGTTCACCAAAAGTAGGGCCCGGGCCTGAACCGGCAGGTGACCGGTTCCGGGCCAGACCGGGCCGGTTCCGAGCCGGTTCACCCGCCCCATTTTTTTTTTTTTTTGATTTTTTGGCTTCTCTTATTTAACCCCCTCCCCCTCAACCCCAAACCACCTCAAATGGCCCAAAATACCTAATCCAACCCAAAAATTAAAAAAAATTCAAAAAAAAATTAAAAAAAAAAATATTCCAGCCCGGACCGGGCCCGAACCGGCCGGGCCGGTTCACCAAATAGAGGGCCCGGGCCCGGAACCGGTATCCACCGGGCCGGTTCGACCCGAACCGCCGGTGGACCGGGCCGGGCCGGTTCACACAGTAACCGGGCCGGACCGGTTCCGGTTCGGGCCGCCCGGCCCGAGTCCAGCACTAGTTGGGATGTTTCCGCTTTCTTTTTTTAGATGTCCCAAAAAGAAGTTCTCATTTCTCTAAATGGAAAGTTCTCCTACATAATGACATTGCCAAACAGTGCAAAATAGTGTCAAACAGTGTCAAATCAGTAAAACTTATCCTCTTGTAAGTTTATTTCCTTAATATGTGTGTAGGTCAAATCGGGTACACCCCAACGGGACGGAGGGAATATAAGTTATGTTTAAAAGGGGCGGGCATTATATACGCTAATTTTTCACCCATGTACCATAATTGAGTGAAAATTGTGGGAAAATACAAAGCAGCAGTAACTGCTATTAATGAAAGTAGCATAGCATCTCAAAAGAACCATGCCTATTGTATAAGATCTAAGGCTAAAGGAAGATGAAGTTGGTGAAGCAAAATTCCCCTTGGGCTTCCTAACTAGACAAGATTTTTTTCAACTTCTTTAAGATGGTGTTCTAGATTAGATAATACAGAGTATAATATAGTATTAGTGCATGTGAGGCAGTGAGGGCAACAAGATTGAATTTGGACCAAGTTGGTAAAAATCGGGCAAAATGGCTTGTTTAGATTAACAAATATGTCACCAGAGACTTTTTACCAACTTGTCAAGCACCCCCTTTTTCTAATAGACTTAGTAATTTGGCCAATTGTATCAACCAAAAATAGATGATAATGATGTTAGTGAAGATGTGGTTCCTTGACTTCCTTCCAATAAATTTTAGGAAAATTCTATGACGCATTCATAAATTTGAATACACCGAAACTCAACTTTTTTAATCCAGTCACATTTTAGCATTTTGCAATTTGCAATCTAATAAAATAGTTTCAATTATTTACGTTTCACATTTGCCATTCTCTTCCACTAGGAGCCGACAACAACATAATCGAGCGATAAAATAGAAAACTTCAGTAACAAAAAATCAAGGAAAACAGAAAATTAAAGAAAGATGATGAGAAGTTGAGAACAAGGTTCTTCTGGTTTGCACTGTGCTTCACATCTTTTCACGGTAATTGAAATTTCTTGGCAAGCGGCAAGGGTAGTTTTTTCTTTGTGTGCGGCCACGAGGTTCTCATTTACAGTTTTTCTCGTTCTTTTTCGAACTGATTTTGGGGGTTAAATTCCAAATGAGGAAACTATTATGCTTATTTTAGAGTATAATTTGATTGATTAAAAAATTGAATGTATCAAAACATATAATGTTAAGTAGTGCACCATAGACGGATATCAAGTTTGTGACATTTTACTCTTACAATAAATATTCCTAGGACGAGCCTAAGTATAGTTGCTAGCCAAAATACCACAACTAACCAACAGTTTACAACTAACCCATCATACTGATCATAGTGGTAGGAGAGGTAGTATATCAATGGAAAAAATCAAAATCCATATCATTTAGGTTTGGATGGTTTGATCCCCAATTCCCCATAAGACAGAACACATTAGTCGCTTGGCAAGTTGGCAGACTAATGTGTAAACAGATGAGAAGCATTTCAATGAATCTAAAATATGATGTTGGGAAACCCGAAGAAAATCAATGGGAAAGAGCAAAAAGATGGGGATTATGAATAATATGAATATCAATGGAAGGAAAAGCTTATGTTGATGTAATAGCTAAAGCAGCAGCACTCTATGAACGCTCCTTCGGTTCAAGGGCCGCAATTTCTTTTACTACTTGAGCTTTATCTGCTTCAAACTGCTCATCCTCTGCAAATTCAATAACAATAACAAAAGAATTATAGAAAATGAGTGTGAGCTGAGTATATAACTATATATATACTCCCCTTGGCCCAAATTATGTTTGGTCAAAGTATAAGTGTATAACTTTTAGCTTTTTGGCAAGATACAAAATATATACGGAGTACATTTTAAAAACATTTTAAAATATATACATTTAAAAAAACATTTTTAATAATATAAGTAAACGGCCTCACTCGTAAATCATATAACACATTCTTAATTTTGGAAAGGCCAAGCCTGGAACAAAATAGGCATAACTTGTTTCCTATAATTATATTTTGAAAAACTACATTAAATTCACTAAAAATTTGTTTCTTTTGTTCAAATGGAACTCTTTTTGGGGGATAAAGTTATGATTTGAAACAGGAATACTTTTTTGGACGGAGGGTGTATAAACTTCTTGGTACTCTGTTTTGGTAAAATTACATGAAAAAATAGCTTTAGTTCATCAAACAAGACCTTTTGAGGAATATAAACAGCTTTTAAAACACGACACACTTTCATGGGACAGGAGTGTGTGTGTTTGTGTATAATGTTAGCACATGAGGGTCTATTGATTTTGCAGTCCCACCTTTGTCGGTCTTAAAATCAGAAAAGAGGCGCAGAAGCTTGCTTTTGTTTGCAACAAGGATGCCTACGATATCTGGAGGCTTGTTCTGATTGGCAGCAAATAACTGTAAAAGGATCAAATTGTCTCAGACTCTCAATAAGGCTTTTTACAGGAATGCATGCAAGTACCACACTGACACATGTTATTGAAGAGTACAAAGTATAAACAAAGCATACCTTAAATACATGAAATGCTTCAATCTGGATGCTCTTGCTTGACTCCTGTGACATAATGGGTTGTACAGAATAGCAAATATAATTATTGTAAAGTTGGTAAGAAATTTGGAAAAAGAAAATCACAGCATCATATAATGACCTGAAAGAAATGACAAAGTGCAGTACGGAGTATATGTTCAACAAATTTGAAAGTGAACGAGAGAGATGTAGGACGAATAACAACTTCAATTCACAGAGCAAGTGGGAGACAAAATATAACAACATTACCCTGAGAAGATTCATCAGAATTCTCAAGTTGTCTCTTGAACTAACATATCGTGTCATCACTGCTGAATTAGATCGGTCCAATAGCATATCCCCCAATAGCTGCACAAATACAGTGGTTGAATAAAAAGCATTGAAAATTTGAAATGGTATTTAGAAAGTCTGTCATGTAACTCTTCAAAGAAATGTCTAAACTAACACTTGATGAAACCCAAGCCATTTAAGTACAAGCTTAGAGATTACATTTATCTGAAGATGGAAACCTTCATGCAAGAATTTGGAAATATAAAATTTTCTTGAAAATTCGACTTATTTTTTAACATCTGGTTTCCACTAAGAATGTTTTTACTTGGACAGTAATTTGCTAGTCTGGTCTGATATGGTCTGAACTGGTCTAGTTTCTTTGTATTTTTATAACTAGCCATGTCTGATCTAGTCTGTTATGGTCTGGGACAGATTACAGTCCAAGTAAAAACATCCTAAAGGATGTATTAATAGTTTAATATTATCACCAGATGATAATTAATCATCATTCGAAGAGTTTGAATGGCTATATAATGTTCCATATTATGGAAAGGCTATATGCTATTTCCTTCCAAAAGTATATAATTAAATGCGAACCTCAAAAACGTGAAAAGAAAAATTCACTCACTTTAACAGCCTGCCTTCTGGTAATATAATTGGCAGACTCTAGCAACTTCGAGTTATACTCTGCAAAAAACTTTAAGCCAAAACATTTGCAGTGAGCATCAAACAATGCTCAGCCAAGTGCATAAGCATGACATATAGCCTATAGGTCGTTTCTTTAACTACTGAAAAAGAAACTGAAACGGATCTAATATGGATAAAAGCTTATACACTGCTGAAAGTTCTGATGCTGATTTTTTTTACCCCAGAGGGGGGGGGGGGGGGGGGGCTGGGGTAAACAGGGCTGAAACTCCCTCCATGGAGTTTGAACCCGAGAACTCCCGTATGGGAGGGTGAGTTGGCGACCAGCTGAGCTGGACCGCTTCCTCCGTTCTCTTTTAATCGCAACATTGGACTTTTTGCACTATTCACATATTCTACTTTGACTATATTTTATTCATTAATGTATTATAAATTAATTTTTTTAAAAATATTATTAAATTCTTCTCATTCTAAATTTTCAAAATATGAATTTTTTGAATTTTTTACTAATAAGGAATGAAAGATATTAATGGTCAAATTTGTGCGTTGGCAAACGTGAAATGTTGACTGTTGCAATTAAAAAGGAACGGAGGAAGGTATTTGTAAAGGCTTACAAAAAGAGACTGAATTTTGAAGATTTGTTTTGCGCTCATTCGCGCGGAGCTATATTATTTCATTTTTTGAAGTAAGTTGTATAACTTGTCAGTTGGAAAGAAAATCCACTAGAACTACTTTTGAGCTTACTGAGTGCTGTTTATAATAGAAGATGATTAAGAGTATTTAGCTATTATTATAGCATGGGCCAACTACACTTACAAAACATAAAGAAGTTTTAAAAAAATTGCAAAGCCAATGACAACAGTATATTAGCATAATAAATAGTATGCACTGAGTTCATATCTGGTCTTTCTGATAGTACTACAAAGCACCAGAAGAGTTCCATAGGCATTTCTGTGAATTGAGATATCAAGGTGGTATTGACGTACCCAATCGTAGTTCTTTGACAGAAACTCTGCTACAGTAGATTTGTGTCTTGTCAGCAGTTCCTATATGATTTACCAATTACCATTGAATGAGGATATTAAAATCAACCACTTGTTGAGAGAGTACTAACAGATAGATCACAGTACACACTACACACTTATTTTATATTGTTGTTGTTACTATTATTATTACTATTACTACAATACTACTAGTCTACTACTATTATTATAGTTACTATTTTCTTATTATTAATTTGGGGAGGCCTTTGGTCCAGATCAACCCCTCAGATCCTAATACTACATATGTCTTCTCAATAGTATAGTCAAGGCAATCCAACCTTGAAAGTAGCAGCAGCATCCGCAGCAATGTCAAAATTTGGAAACTGTATATAGTCAAAAAACCTCTTCATGTGCTCTGATTCCAAAACATGCCTTTAAACCACACAAAAAACATGATAAAGGACTACCATATTCTGTCACACTATAATAACAATAAAAAAAATAAAAAGTAAAGAAAGAACATCATATCAAATGCATGCATGAATGCATGACTCTTACTTGGCAACACTCTGATGTCGAATGCATTCTCTCAACATAGAACCGTAATGCAATGCCATATCCGCATTGTCATAACTAATCAATACAGCAAATAGAATCATGTAATCATCATTAGAGAGCAAGAATCACTAAAGAAATACAGAGTATCAAAAAGGCGCAAAAGTTAGCACGCTAACTTTTTCCTCCATCAAACATGATAAAGTGATAAATATTAAATTTCTAGGAGCACTGTCAGGTAGACCTGTCCACGTTTTAAGGTTCAACCGGAACTGCCGGTATTGAAATCGGACCAGAACCACATAGTAACTTCGCTTTGGAACCGGAGATTCACTAGTCCGGTTCGGTTCTTCCAAAGTTTGGAAGCGGAACCGGCGGTTCCAGTTTGGAACCGGAAGCCGCCAGTTCTGGTTCTTTTTTATTAAAAAGTAAATAAATAATAATACTAACAATGATAAATAGTAGTAGTGGTAGTTATTGTACTAAGAATACAAAAAAATGATTATTATTTATTAATGTGTAGTCATTACTAGTTATAATACTCTGATGTTACAAATTAAGGTTGAAAGAATACATAATATCATAATTATTAAAGTACTTTAAAATTACTAACTTTTAAATTTATACAACCTAATTTATAACTACTTAGTTACTAACTATCTAATTATGTACTTAGTTATAGAATTAAAAATTATTAATTATAGTAATATATTATGGGAACTCTTTCATTTGAATGATCTTATTACTTATTACCTCCTCTATTTTTAAAAAATTACATAAACATTTAAATATAAAAAACAAATACAAAATTTGGAACCCGCCATTTTGGGAACCGGTACTGTGCGGTTCCAGTTCCCCAAAATTTGGGACCGCGAATCGGCAATTCAATTCCAGTTCGGTTTGGAACCCGGGACAACCCCCACTGTCAGGTATTGAAAAATGTCAGAATGCATCATTTAATGGAGCTATAATCTATTAAATATACAGAATACTTCAAGGAAAAGCCATTGATGACTAATAAGTGAAAACCATATATCCTGAAAAGAACTAAGCTTATTCTACAGCACACAAACTAAGATGGTTATTCTCAATATTTCAGGAAACCCCAAGATGTAGAAGAAATATCGACAGTTACCTCTAGCCACTCATCTGTTAGAGCTATTTCTGTTTCAAACTAGTTTTATATATGACCTTGTTTGGTTGGGGAATGTTGGAGGATAGGAAAGGGAATGGGATGACATTTATTTTCTTACTTTATTCTTACATATATGTGGTTGCAAAAAAAAGCGATGAAAAAATGCATAGAAATAAATTATTTGACTAGGCATATGCTTCATAGTTATATTCTAACATAAGACTCACAAATAGAAATGAATTACGGAGTAGTAAATAGGAAATGCCATCCACTCCTCTCTAAATTCTACCTACCAATTCAAGCATCGAGTCTATCACAGGACAACACAAAAAAACAAAGTGGGGCAGACTAAGCATCATAAACTTGAATATATGTCCAACGATAGCTTACCCTGCTACCAATATATCCATCAGATCGATATTTGCTTCCAAGTAGTCACAAGCAATCAACCGTGACTGAACTTGTTGCCTTTGCAAATTTGCCACAACCTGAGTGGCATCTTTACGGGTCTGCAAATGGCAAACAGTGTTTATGGTACTAAATGTGATAGATGACAAAAAAGCGGTACATCAAGAATGACGAAAGATAATAAAATCATATCCTATATCAAAAGTTCAAAAAGATGGGCACACTGAGTTCCCGGTTACATCATACGATGAGAAAGAAGCTCACAATTTCACCTCTAAATTAAATTTTGGAAGACAGCTAATTAGCAAGCGTAGTGTGTTCTCTCTAAAGAACTCTTGAGTCAACTGTGCACAAGCCTCTGCAACAGGCTCAGCTTCACTATTCCCATAAAGGACTTGCTTTAATTCCCGCATAAGCTTGCTCAATTCCGCCATCTTCAAACCATGCAAAATGAAATAAAATACATATATTAATTAGTGAGGAAGCACGCTTGTAAATCTAATCAAATATATCATGAATATGCTTTAATAAATCAATTTTTATTGTCCATATCATCATTTTGCCCATGTTTTTAGATGATCCAGCTTGGTCTAGTCCCATCTGATCTAATTAGATCCAATGTGGTTCGGACTGAGCTGGTCTTGTCCGGTCTAGTTTTGTCTATCCTGTTATAATTCAATCAGGCATGTTCTTGTCCTATTCAATCTAAAGTAGTGATATTTTGTGAATTTTATTAGAATGACTGTATATTCATTAATAACTTTGCTATATGACATATAGCTATTAAAAATACATTAAAACATTTTTTAGAACTAAAAAAATCAATCTTTTAAGGATATTATTATTATTATTACAATTTACAAATTGATTTGTAATTTGCGGTTTTTGGGCTGACGGATGATTAAGTTAAATCATTCTCGCACGTAGTTAAATCAATTTGAATAATTAAAATCATCCATGCTGATATTTAAATTAGTCTTGATTGAAAATTCTAAAAAGTAGTAAAATCCAAATTAGTTAGAATATAATAAAATTTTGATATGCTAAATAAATAAATGAAATTAAATCGTGTTGATCAATAAAAATTGACTTTGCCAATCACGGGACGGATGGGTATGTTTAATTTTTTTGTTATCATTTTAAAATAGTAACAACAATAGCACCAAGCAATAGAATGATAAAAATAAACATAACTAGTGCTTCGTTTATAAAAATAAAATAAAACCCACATCGTACATGATCAACGAATAAATTAAATTAGAACGGTACAACAAAAATTAAATTAGAATGGTACCTTGTCTTCACGCTTGCAATCACGAAGATCGGAGTCAGAGCTGTGCTCAACATAGATGAGGAGTTCTCGAGCCTGACGAACGAGGTCAACGGGAGTCCTAGGCTTGGACTTGAACAAAACCTTCATCTTGCCGTCTCCACTCCCGCTGCTGCTACAAACGCTGTCCGGCAACTGCAACGGCGATGAGCGGATAGGGATAGGGGAAGAGAGTCTCCTAGAAAGACTCTTCGGACCCGCCGAGGGTTTAGGCCCCTCGGCCGGGGTCCTGAGTGAGAGGCACCCTCCTATCTTTGCAGATGATCACTACTACCAATTGCGTTTGCTAATAGATCTGCGTTTGTTTTCCAGCAAACTCTTGAGTGAACACTCTATCGATACACTTCTCTCTCCTAGGGTTCCGATTCCGGTGAATTAGCAGCTGATCATGCTAGTGATCTGATCGGCTTTGTGTGGTGGTTCAGGCGAAAAGGAGGGCAGTTTGAACTATAAAGCATTTATAGCATCTTAGGAGTCATAAGATGGTTGATGAGATTTTACTTGTAGGCCCATACAAAAATACATTGTCTTCATTGATTTATATTCAAAAAAATTGGGAGTGATAATCTGGCGGTCCGCTTATAATAATTTTAATTATCGATTATTTCAGAATAATTCAAATTTTAGGAACCTTCTGTCAATAATGGTCCGCGTGATCGACTATAAATAAATTTTTATAGTTTCTAAAGTGGATAGGAAGAGATATAGCAATGTAATCCCTATAAATAATCTCAACCTTTAATTTTTTCGCTTAATTTCTATTAAAAATCACTTGTTATAGCAGGTAATATCCGGTCATGGACCATTATTGGTGGACGGTCCATATAGTTGAGATTATACAAAAATAAATAGTTGAGATTATTATTAACGGACCAGCAGTAGTTGAGATTATTACATTATTATTACGTATCAAATAATCACAAGTACAAATATGGAGTTTGAGTACGGTCTGGAGTCTCTACCTTGCTTTAGAGCAATGTAGAGCGTTTTGCTTCTTCACAATCTTCTGATCGAAAAATCAAGGGGCGGGAATGTTGGGGTCCACTTTTACGTCGATCTTGAGGCCGTCTTCGTCGCTTAGCTGTTGTCTGATGCGTAAGGTACTCTACCGTGCGCCAGAGGATACAGATCCGTAAATCATATCCTGACAGGGACCGCCGTCAGCCGAGGCCATTTGGGGTCCTTCTTGGTGGAATTTTTTTATGAAGGTTTTTTAGCATATTCTTCATCAAGTATAGCTTATCTCAACAATTTTTCAGATTACTATTGAACCGGGAAGTCAGTTACATGAAATATGAAAACACACTACGCTTTATGTATGAAAATAATGCGCAGTATGTTTCAATAATTTATTTAAGGGATATTTTGACTTTGCACCCTCCCTTTTGGGTGGTATTGGAATTTGCACCACATTTTTAAAACTTTTAAACTTTGCACCCTATTTCCCTAAAAAGTCTTTGCCTTTGCACCCCATTCAGGAATTTTTCTTCACAAAGTGTTGTACAACAGGGTGCGAAGTCTAAAAGTTTTAAAAATGGGATGCAAAGTTCAATATCACCTAAAAGTGGGATGCAAACTCAAAAATTCCCTTTATTTAATTGTCTCCTTGATTGAATTTTAAGCTGAATTTGGTGGGCATCAAGTAGACTTGATAAAGACCCTGTTCAAAAAATCCACCAGAAAGGACTCCAAATGGTCTCGCTAGACGGCGAGTCCTGTCAAGTCGGTCTGACAGGATCACTATTCTATAACTATGTATATAGGAGAATGTTCTCCTAAGGTAGTAGGCCTAAAACTTACAAATTTTAGGCCTCTTTCATTTGAGGTGTTTCCGGGTCGAATATTTTTATAAAATTTTGTGTGCATGTTCTCCGTGAAGTATAGATTTCGTATCTGGACATAGTGTGCAATAAAGAGATTTTAAAAGTGAATGGAATAAGATTGAAAGTTGAAAAGAATCTTTAATTCTGAAGGAAATCCAAATCACGCATTACATATTCAATAATATTACTAATAAGAGTGTTAGAACTTATTATAATTTTTAATTTTGAGCACTTCTTTGCACACCACTAGATATTCAATCATTTGGATTCATCATTAGATTGACTAATAAGATTTTTCAAACCACTTTGGAGTGTAATCATAGGTTGAAACATACAACATAACTCTTTGTGATAAAAACCTAGTTGTTTAGTTTTAACTAAATATTATGATTAATCTTGGCGATTCATGTTTATAATGATAAGAGATGTAGTAGTCGCATTTAACTAGATATTATGATTAATCTCGTTGATTCTTGTATGATAAATAAGTCATGGCAACAAATTCTCACATTTGAAACTAAAGGTAGTAGTCGCATCACATGATGTTAACAACTTCTTGAAATAAAGACAAATTTTTCTCTCTCAAAGGATTTGTGTCTCACAAAGGAATCTCATACTCCCTCCGTCCATTAATACTTTGTAATGTTTGACCGACACTGGAAACAATAAAGTCGAAACTGTGTGGTTGAGATATGTGCAGAGGAGAGAGAAATAACAAGAACCACAAATTCATTGATTAAATGGGAAAGTGACAAAGTTTTTGGGACATCCAGAAAAGGAAAGATGACAAAGTTATAAGGGACGGAGGGAATATATTACTTCCTCAGTCCCATTTTGTAAGATAATTTTCCTATTTACTTGGTCAATACAAATCACTATTAATCTCTTACTTTATATATCAAATTTTTATCAAATTTGATTCAGGTTTTTGCGACTTTGTAAAGTTTTTAATGTAGTTTCTGAATATGTAATTTTTTTTTCTAAAAATAATTTGAGTGCTGACAGGGATCCGTTTGCTTTATCATTGGTCAAACATCGTAAACTGTAAAGTGTCTTACATAACGGTTAGAACACTATATACTTGTATCATTAATTAGAGCATATCTCATAACATCTTAGCTTAAAATTTGTTCATATGGTGGTGTATTTAGAGATTCATTTCTTGTTATAGATAGTTAATTCCCACATGAAAACTTTACCTCCATTCTTACACATTTGTTCTTGCTTATATATACTTTTTTGTAAATACATAGTTCTCTTCATAAATGTTTGTGCTTATATTCTTTATTTTTTTTCAATGCATTCTAGTTCTAATTTTGCTTGTTATTTTATCTAGGTTCTTCCAACTTATAATTCAACATTAACATTGTGCCTGAAACCTCTAATTCAAAAATTGTTGACGACTAGTCAATGTAGCAAATAACGCTTTCTTCTTCTTATTTTCTAAACATACAAGAATGGCACAATCTAATGACAAAACCAAAAAACGAAAAATTAAAAAAAGAGCTCGTTAAAACCTACAATAAAGTGTCAGAGGAACCATCTATAAAAAAGTAAACAATGATTAATGAGATTAACATATAATTACAATAAACTCCGATTAATGAATGCACACACCATGTGAAATGTTCTATATAAATCTCAACTCCATTTCATCCATCCCAATATTCAATATATTCAATCAATCGCCTCTCGTGGTATTTCAAAGGAAGAAAATAAATAGTTATATCAGAATAGGCTCTGAGATACTCCATAAAATACAATTTATAAGATTCACATAATGAAAACTACATTTACATTTATAATATATGTAGTACTAAAATATTTTGGGTGTGTCCCGGAAAAACAAAGAACATTAACTAATTAAAATTAATCAAATAGCCAAAGAAAAATCATAAATAAGATGGAACACAAAATGCAAAAGCTTGTGCAATGCACAATGTCCTTAAAATGTATTAGTTGCCTCCTATGGTGCTAGGAGTATTGCAACGATCGTTTCCCAGGATACGGTGACAAACGAACGATCGTTTGAGCACACAAACGACAGTTTCGGTGAACGGGAACAAATGACAGAACATAGAGAAGTTTTAAGGAAATTGGAGGTGTGTTTTTGCTCGAAAACTACGTGAACACTTTGTTGTGTGATGTGTTGTTGCAAAGCACGTGTCAGCTACTTATATGGAAGGATTTGTTGTGTGTTAATGGCATATTAAAGGACATGAACATTGTAAATCAATGACCAGTCCGTTGGGCTTTGATTCATCCGTGAACTGTCCACTTAGTGTTGCAGAACGTTGGGCATTTATTGGTGTAATGCCTGAGCAGCAGCCTGCTTCTGGTCGTTCTCCCAACGGGGGCTGAACCTGGAGCAAAAAATAGAACGCTACGGGAAGAAGAAGAAAAATAAAAGTTAGCTTTAGAAGATAGATTTTCGGCTGACACTCGTGTTCACAGGTCGCCCGCGCACGCAAGTCGTGGTTTTTGTTCTCCATTTTCGGGATTTGACCGGCACCCCTACACGCGAAGAGAGCCTTTCTACCTAGGGTTCCCTTTATAAATGGGTGAAAATCCATTGAGTTTTCCGGTGTGGGAAATATCACACTAGAAACCCATCAATTTTCTAGTTTTCTCTATTTCAACGAGTAAACTTCGAGAATCAATTTCGCATTCATCCGTTATCCGTTTTGAATGTATCATATATCAAATTGTAGCCCTTAACAAGGTTTTACAACATTTTATTCAACACATAACTTTTTTATCACTGCCCTCATACAAAATAAATTGTTAGCTAATTCCTCTATTAAATCAAACCTTTGAAACAACAAAACAAATAAATAATAGTAAAAAAGGAGCATAATAAATTCTAATTTTGAAAAGGGGGACATAAAAATTAAGAAGCATAAACAGAAAATGACAACTGTATAGTCATATTCAGCGTTTGAACATGTCTTTGATATCATTTGTAGTCTTCAGATTGACAATACTGAGTATTATTAATGGTTGAAAATAGATCAAGTAATTTACTCTTGGTTATTTGCTACTCCCTCGCAATCATGTGCTTGTTGATGTTCACAGGGTTAAAAATTTCTTTTGCTATTTGGGATCAGATGCAAACCAAGTTTATTTCAGCCAGTCTAGCATGTTCAATGGAACTCAAGTGTACGTTAGCTCACATTAAAAAGAAAGGCAATCAATCTATGGAACATTAGTGAAAGGATGTTAAGGTGTTTGTTGATTCACTAATTGCTATCAACTTTCTCGTGTCTCGGTCTACCTTATTCAAATACATCATTATTGGATTGACACCGAAATATGAATCTCTTGTTACGGTCATATCCTGAGTTTCCTACGAGCATAAGAGTAACACATACTTTTTCTCATGCAACAAGACCAGAACAATCTACATCAGGACTTCGGTTCTACCACAGATTCATGACAATTGACTCATTCACCGTTCGTGCTCCCAATCCTCCCATGGGAGAGTGACCATGGCCGTGGAGGCTGTGTGCATGGTTGTCCTGGCCAGGGTCGCTTCCAGCCACACAAGCAATCGTCTGTGCCACTGGCACATGCTTCTGGTTTTGGCTCACTTGCAGGGGTGTAGTCAATACTAAAATAACTATA